GTCCTGCGCCCTCTTCGCGGCGGCTTCGTCCCGAGCCGCGTCGGCCGGAAGGCTGTAGCGCAGCTCGAGCTCTTGCCGCTCCTGGGCGGAGGGGGCCGCTTGAAAAAAAGGAGCGCATGCACGCCCTGGGGCGTCGACGGGTCACTGCCCCGACATTGCAGACGAGCTGCAGCGGAGTTTTGCGCGGATTTGTGTCAATGCAAAAATGCGAAAAAGGCGAGAGCAAACACAACGAAATTCGCGTGTGTTTTTTGGGGGGGTCTTCATCCCTAGCCAACAAAGATCCGCAGGAAATTCGCCTCGAAATCCGGAACGAACTACTCCTGGACCCCCCGGGCCCATCCTATCGTTTTCCAACTGAAATCCGCCCTGCGATGTTGGCGCCATGAGACGGGTCATCTCGCCATAAGGGGGGGCACTGTCTTCGAATATTCCCAATCTCCTGGATGTTAGAATGTTGTGCTTGTTGCTGGATACCCACTTCCCCAAACATGTATATACATACATACATACATACATACATACATACATACATACGCACATCCATAAAAAAAAACATACATACATACGTACGTACGTGCGTACGCACAGCCATATATACATACATGCATGTATGCATGTATACTTACATACACACATACATACATACAAACATACATGCATACATACATACATACAAACATACATACATACATATACATACATATATATATGTATATATTTGTATATAATATATAAATGAATAGATATATGTATACGTATATATAGCACAACATACATACATACATACAGACAGACAGACAGACAGACATGCATACATATTTATATATTTCCCCCCCCCCACCCACCACCACCACACACACACACACACACACCCCAACGCGGTAACAAGTGTAATTGTGTAGTGGATGTTGCCCCCCGGGGTTTTGCCCCGGGTATTTTACCTGGGAAACAAAATGATGCCCAACTGTGCATGTGGCCCCGGTTTACAACAACAAAGGCAACAACAACAGCATGAGCAACCAAAGAATAGCAACAGCAGCAACATCAACAATCAGTATAAGACTGCTCGCGCTTACTTGCCCGCGTCATTCAAAACACCTGGCAGGCGGGCAAACCTGAACGGGCGGACAATCCTTCGTGGGCGCCAGTGTGCCCGCCATTGGAATTGGTGTGGGCCCTGCAAAGAAAGGAGGGGGATAATGAGGGCGAGTGGGAGGAGGGACGAAGGAAGAGGGACAACGCCCAGATAAAAGGAGCAAAGAGGGGAGGTTGATTAGAGGCAGAGCGAGAGAGAGAGAGAGAAGGAGAAAGAGAGAGAACAAACTATATAAAAAACATATAAAAGAGGTAGAGCAATAGAGAGAGACACACATATATATATATATATATATATATCAAGAAAGAGGAAGGGAGGAGGCAGGAGAGGGGAGGGAGGAGGGAGGAGGGAGGGAAGACAGAGGGGATAGGGCAGCGAGGCACAAGAGTGAGGGAATACAGGAGGGAGAGAAAAGGTAGGAGAGGAGGGAGGAGGGAGGAGGGAGGAGGAGCAGGAAGGTAAGAGCGTGAACGTTCAAGAAAGTCCTAGGCGAAAGCGCCGTTCCTGAAGGAAGTTTCGGGCGGGAGCCCACGACGGGCAGACGATCCCTTTTACGGGCGGGTCGGGCGGGCGGGACATTCAAGCGGGATGCATGAGTATGGCGAGAGAGCGATTCTTGAGTAAAGTGTGAAGGCGTCCTCGGCGCAGCGTGTTTCCTGAGCGTCGAAAGCGCGATTGCTGAAGAAACTACATGGAAATCGCAAGCGGGAACGCAGTTCCTGAATAAAATGTGAAAGGCTCCCTTGCGGGAGCGGGGGTCTTCATTAAATTGCGAGGAAGTCTTAACTAATGACATGGAGGTCTCAAGCGGGAGCGCCGTTCCTGAGGAATTGTAAGGAGGTCTCAGATGGGAGCTGGGGCTAAATTGCAAAAGGAGCCACAGGCGGGAGCACGGACCCTGAGCAAATTGCGAGGAGGTCTCAGGCGGGAGCCGTTGTTGTAGTAATCAGGGGGGGCCATGGGGCACAGTTTGAACACCAAGACTTTCCCTGACCAAAAACAGGGCGCGGGCGCCGAGGGGCGCACTTCGATTGAGAAAAACATCATGCACCAGTGAGGGGGGATAAGCAATAAATATTACCCATAACTGAAAACTCATCAACAACAACAACAACACGCATCTTAAGTCTGTTCGCCCTGGCCTGCTCGCGTGTCATTCAATATGCACATCCCAAACCCTGGACACCCGCCATCTTCATCTTCGACCGCGCCCCCACTTGGGGGGTATACTCATTCCCTGCCACGCGTGGTTGGCGAAACCCTTGAAAACGAAGGGTAACAGATAACGGGGGGGAACGAGGACGAAGGGATCGGAGGAAGCGAGGGGAGGGGCAAGACGGAGGAAGGACGATGATTTGCGTTGCGAGTGGCGATTCAAGTTGCGCCATGGCTTGCGCCAGCCACTCCACCACAAGCTAACAGTAAGTTTCGCAATGCGTCGCGCATAAACAACGCCACGTACCACCCCCTTGAAAAAAAAAAAAAAAAAAAAAAAAAAAAAAACACATCGTGGATACCCCCACGGGGGGGGCGTACAGCTGCGAACTGGTGCCAAACACAAATTTCGTGGAACCCTGAAAGGAAACGGGATTTTGGGAATGGGGCGGAAAACAACTGCAGCCGTGTCGAAAAGAGCGCGGAAGCCCCAAGTGAAAGCGCGATTCTTCAATCAATTGTAAGGAACTGTCAAGCGGGAGCCGCGATCCGTTAAAAAAATACAAAAAAAAAAAAACCACGCGAGAGCGCGATTCTTCAATACATTGTGAAGCAATATCAAGCGGGGGCACTTGTTGTTGTTGCTGTTGTTGTAAACCAGGGTGCAACAACGCAGTTTGACCCTCAAGACTTTCCCTGATAAGAAAAACAGAGTGCGAGCGTCGGGCAAGAAGGCACTTCAATCGAGAAAAATATGCACGGGACGGGGATCAACAATAATTATTCTTCAGAAGTGAGATTTCAGCAACAACAACAACAACAACAACAACAACAACAACAACAAAAAACAGCAACAACAACAACAACAGCAACAACAACCATTTTAAGGCTGTACGCTATTACTTGCCCGCGAGTCATTCAACACGTATACCCTACACCCTCGATACCCGCCCTCTTCGTCTTCGATCACACCCCTTTCGGGGTGATTATTTCTCTTTGCTCGGGCCGGCGGGCTTAGACGTACGGGCAAACCGGAACGGGCGGACAATCCTTCGGGGGCGTACATTTCTCTGCCCGCCATTGGAATTGGTGCGGGCCCTGCACGAGGAGGAGGGGAAGAACGAGGGAGAGTGGGAGGAAGGGGAGGGGGAAGGACGAAGGAAGAGGGAAGATACCACGTTGTGAAGGCGTCCTTGGCGCGTGCGTGGTTCCTGAGCGCCGAAACGCAATTCCACAATAATTTGTGAGGACGTCGCACGCGAGAGCGCAGTCCTGAGTACATTGTGAAGAAATCTCGGGCGGGAGCGGGGGCCCTGACTAAGTTGCGAGGAAGTCTCAAGCGGGAGCGCCGTTCCTGAGCAAATTGCACGGAGTCTCAGGCGGGAGCGGGGGTCCTCACTAAATTGCGAGGAAGTCTCAGGCGGGAGCGCCGTTCCTGAGTCAATTGCGCGGAAATGTCAAGCAGGAGCGGGGGTCCTGAGTAAAATTCGAAGAAGTCTCAGGCGGGAGCGCCGTTCCCACGTAAATTGCACGGAAGTCTCAGGCGGGAGCGGGGGTCTTGATTACATTGCGAGGAAGTCTCAGACGGGAGCGCCTTTCCTGAGTAAATTGCGCGGAAGTCTCAGGCGGGAGCGGGGGTCCTGAGTAAAAATCGAAGAAGTCTCAGGCGGGAGCCGTTGTTGTTGTAGCCCCGGGGGCAGGGGCACAGTTTGAGCAGGAAGTCTTTCCTTGAGAAAAAACAAGGTGCGAGCACTGGGGGTGGCACTTCAATCGAAAAAAATCAATGTGCACCGGTGGGGGGGGATCAACAATAATGATTCTTCAAGAATGCGAGTTCAACGATCATGTTAGTACTGTTCGCAGTTTTGCTCGAGTGTCCAATAACGCGTATTTGCCAAACCCTCGATACCCGCCCTCTTCGTCTTCGATCGAACCCCTTTTGGGGGTATACCTTTCTTCCCTGCAGGCCGGGTCCCGGCAAGCGGCGGGGCGGCCGCGGACCGTCGGCCTGGCCAGCGGCAGCGCCTATCGGCGGGGCGGCCGCGGACCGTCGACCCGACCCCAACAGGGACGGATTGGGGACCGACCACGACGACGACGACGTCGACCACGACGGCGATGACGACGGCGACGACGAGCGAAAGCGAAAGCGAGAGAAAACGACAGCAGGGCCACGAAGGACACGAAGTAGGCCACGAAGGCCGACAGCGGGACACGAAGGGAATGAGTATGAGGCCACGAAGAGCGCGATCGAGCGGGGGCCACGAAGGGCAGATAATGCGGGGCCACAAAAGGCAACGATGGGGCAACTGAGGGTAGCAACTGGGCCACGTAGGACAATGACGGGGCCACAAACGGCGACAGCGGGGCCACGAAAGGCACGCAAATGGGGCCACAACGGGCGCGATTCCTGGGTGTCTGGATGTCGGGAGCGCGGCGCTTGAGCAACTTGCAGGGACACTCCCAAGCAAGAGCGCTATTCTTCAGTAGATTGCAAGCAAGTCTGCTGCGAAAGCACGACTCCAGAGCGCCAGGGAAGCGCTGATTCTTGATAAATGTCAAGGAAGTCCCATTCCAGAGCGCGATTCCTAAATAAAATGCGACGAAATCTCGGGCGAGAACGGGGTCTTGGCTAAACTGCGAGGACATCTCAGGCGTGAGCCGTTGTTGTTGTAACCCGGGGGCCAAAGGCACAGTTTGAGCATCAAGATTTTCCCTGTAAAAAAACAAAGTGCGAGTGTCGAAGGGCACACTGCGATTGAGAAAAAATATGCACCGGTGGGTGGGGATCAAGAATGATTATTCTTCAGAAGTGAGAGTTTGACGA